TCCTGCTAATTTTATCACATTGTGATAGTATGGTATGATCATTCGCATCAGGCTCTAGGACGAATATTGTCGACTGAAAAAGGTTATTTTGCTGACAGTAGAGACCATTTAATCTCACCCCTTTTATTATAATTAAATATAATTTTGAACGTAGTTATCGATGTACCGAAAATAAATCAGATTTCTCCAATTACATTATAAGGTCATTCTTATTGATTGTATCGATACCATATTTTTTTATTGTAACAGAACTTATATTAGTCACTTAACATTTTCTGTTTTCTTGCTTTATAAGAGGAAGCATAAAAACCTGACATTGAAAAGTAAATAAAAATATTAAAGTGATAGGAAAGTCGGAGATGATTCGCAAAATGTTTTGTCAGCACAGGATAGGTGAGGTCTTTGGGGGGAGGAACCTTGACTGGTCTCTCTGCTTTACAATATTCCTCTATCAGTTTCTTCGTTGCATCATGTAGTTGTTTCATATTTCCTTCTCTTGAAGCTTTTTTCGATGTCCTTGCTAGCTCTTTCACGTATTTCTGCTTATCGGCTCAAATGCTCTTCTCCACTTGCTTGTTTGTTCCTGTGTATTCAGCTTGTGCCTTGACTTTCTCTGTTCTTGTTCGGTTGTAGTTAATTGCAGTCTTCTTGTTCTTCCTTTTTTGTATCCTATCAAGGTTTCCATAGAGATCCATTACTTATGATGGTGCTTCTTTAGACCCAGCACCTCTTGACACGTTGAAGTTAAAGCTTCTTTGATATCTTTCCAGTAGTCGTCCATAGTAGTTTCTTCTTCCTTCAGTAGATCCTGTATGGCTTGAAACCTGTTGTTGAGAGCTATCTTGAATTCGTTGATTTTGTTAGTATCTCGAAGGAAGGCTGTATTGAACCTTTTTAGTGCTGTTTGTCCACTTGTCCAGTTCTTTTTTAGCTTCAGTTTTAAATTGGCCACAACTAGGTGGTGATCTGAAGCTATATCAACTCGTCTCCTGGTTCTCACATCTTCCATTGTCCTTCGGAACTTTTTGCTGATGCAAATATGATCTATCTGGTTCTCTGTAGTGTGGTCCAGTGAGATCCATGTAGCTTTGTGAATACGTTTGTGTGGAAATATTGTGCCTCCTATGACCAATTTGTTGAATGCACATAGATTTGCAAATCTTTCTCTATTTTCGTTTCTCTCACCCAGTCCATGTCGTCCCATAATATCTTCATATCCGGTGTTGTCTATTCCGACTTTGGCATTTAGATCTCCCATCAGAATGGTCAGGTACTTTATTGGGCACTTCTCTATGATTGATTGCAGCTGCTTGTAGAATTGATCTTTAATGTCGTCGTTGCTATCATTGGTGGGTGCATAACATTGGATAAAATTCATTATGATCCCGTCCTTCTTTGTTTTGAATGATGCTTTGATGATTCTGGATCCGTGAGATTCTCATCCTACAAGTGCAGTTCGTGCTACTTTGGACAGCATTAGAGCAACTCCCAGAGTGTGAGGAGAATTTTCGTTTTCGTGATCAGAATACAGCAGGATTTCTCTTGAATCTATTCTCAGCTGTCCAGCTTGGATCCAATTGGTTTCACTTGTGTCGAGTACCAACAAGTTGTACCTCCTCATTTCCGCCGCTATTCGATTAGTCCTCCTGGCCTTTCACATTGTCCGGACGTTCCGTGTACCTATAAAAATTGTTGCTCTGGTTTTTAGAAGGGGCAACGAACTCGTGACTTCCGAAGAATTTCGGCTTTCACTATGAGGCCTCATAGTTTTTCCTCCAACTTGGAGGACAGAATTTAGGTGGTTTAATTTGTTTACTCTGGTTAGCGCTCTTTACCAAAATTGTTTTCTATGGGATAGGGTTGTTGGCTCCATGTTCAACTCTCCCTCTTAACCCATTCTTGTGACCGGCAGTGACTTTAGAAGAGCTACAGAAGTTTCCATAGAAATATATTGATTAAAAATAGTCAACATGATATGTTAGATGTTAATTCTTTACTTATTGATAAAGAAAAACAATCTTTTTCAGTAAATATAATGAATGCATGTATGAATTCGACCTCTTTTTTACAGCACTAATATTGAACCTGTTAACCCATAGATTAGCTCACAATTTTGAATATATTATTGAATTAACAAAAGATATAAAGAAAGATATTTATATCATCAGTAGTAGAAATAAATAACTAGTATTAGTAGTCGTAGTCATCGTCGTCGTCGTAGTAGTAGTAGTAGTAGTACACACGCATTCTTCAAAGCCTCCTGATATATGAGATAACTATATTGACGCGCAAGTCTCATAAATTGGATCGTTTGACAGAACCAGGGTAACTGATCAAATTATATTATCTAGGTTAGTTGTAACTATTAGTACTTGACTTTAGATAGTGAGACTTTCTATGTTGTATTTATATTCCCTTTCTAAATAGCTGAGGCGATGGAAGAGTAGTTTATAGTGACTAGTTGTGATGAAACACCATAGTACATAGATCAGAATGTTTTCTTCGGATTCACTTGCTTAATGATATCATGTGGATATGATTATCGACTCCAAAACCAAGTCAATAATGACATAGTTTATCCACGAATGATGCAACTGTTTATAATTGCTGCCGATTCATGAATTATTGTACAGCATTCTCTTTATGGATTTAAATTGGTAGTATATCAACTAGTATATTACTGACAGCTTAAAAAGTTGATTACCAATTAAATGTTTTAAAAGTTGATCTTGCCCTTAGTAACGGCAATGGATCAATGCCAGGAGATACAGTCCTAAGGTAGCCAATGACCAGAATAGGTTCAAATGCCATTCATTCTGGTGATCATTTACATCACTACTTTGAAATTAGGGTTTCCTTACTTCTGCGGGTAGACCTTCCGCACCTATTAACTTAGTTTTGTAGGTTGGACGTCCACTTTCGCTCATCTACTTTCAATAAAAGAAAGTCAGTATGACTCTGTTGAGTGTATATATAAATCTGAGGCAACATGAAAGGATTTGGAAAAAAAGAAAAAACTTTTCACTCTCAGTCTTACCAGAAAATTTGCGAGGATATTTTTGGTGTCCTACTATACTTTACTTTATATTCATTATATACTAAAAATAATTTATTGGATTAGTGATTATCTTTATACTGGCATAGCTGTTTATTGATAGGTCACTGTCAAGTTACTTGAACATATTATGTTCAAACTCGTTTCTCAATAGTTATCTAGTGAAGTATCCAAGTCAAATTAAGCTGTGAATCAGTTTGTTTGTCAACTGATTACAGACTATTGAATCGAACTAACAACGGAGAGAACATACTTAAATTCATATGTTAATGGTTCATTCCCTAAGTGTATAAATAAGAAAATTTAGTCAACGTAGAGATCTGTATCACTGGGAATAACGGAGACATTCCATCTAGCATATGATCCTTACTATATGAATCTGAACTTCCTTGTTAATCCTAATTTTTTTTACGTATGATTAGATTACTTCTTTGCAATTTTCAAAAATTCCCATATTATGAATTACAACAATATATACATAAGCGAACAATTAGATCTTCGGGGGTGCGCACTGATGAGGAGTCTCACAGTAGGACGAAACGGCCATACAGTGCTTTCATGTTTTCCATGATGGTCTATTATCAATTGACTCATGATCTCAACTATTGAAATTATTATAATATCTACAAAACACCCTTCTGATATGAAACATAATAAGTGAAAAGTACAAATTGGTAGTGTACTAGTTGTGATAAGAATAATAAAGGCTTGAATCAATGTTTCATAATGGAAAATAGGTCAATGATTAGAAAAAATTATAGACATTGAAATAACATTCATAGAAAGATTGTAAGACTATGTTATATGAAATGTTTAGATAATTGAACCGTGAAGCATGCAGTCGAAAAACGAAAAGGGTGGGAAGGGGTGAAGAATTGGATTGTTAGCTTGAATTCCTATAGATTCTGTTATGTGTAAGAGGCGATATACGAACCCCATAAAGAAAACTAGTAGTAATAATATAAATCACATTAAATGACCTATTTCTATCTACTACATGACTGCTATTGATCAAGTGTGATAGAACGAAGATGTATATTGTTTCGATGGTACCCTTTCTTAAACATGAAGGGAGGTGTTCACTAACTCGTTGGCTCTGTTATCTGGTTATGCATCTAATACTTTCGTATATGCATATAAATATTACTGTTTAATTAGAGTAAAGTTTGGTGAGGATTTAATTGGAAACAATCTTGTCCGCCTATATATGTTAATCTATTTGTTTTGATACTGTTCATTCGAATGTTATTTTTGACATAAATCAAAGTTAGCTGGAGAATCATTAAATTGAAAATCATTTAGATTTCGCGGTATGAATGATACGTTTTAACTAACTAGCATATTTACAATCTCAATCAGTTTGTATTATAGAAAACCAATCGTTTCATTGCATATTGGATGTACTTGAATCTTATCACCTTAAATGTTTTAGTATAAACTAATGGATTGTGGTCATTATCATCGTTTACTTGTTGTCACTTTGCTAAAGGAAAAAAGAAATATTCTTCGATAGTCAGTTTACCAAGTTTGTAGAATTCTGTTGATTAACATTTGGGTCACGTCTGTTATTTTTAATTACTGGCAAGAATTTGTCAATTTAACAAAAACAAAGTAGGTCCTGGGTTCTAATCCCACGAGCGGGATCGTCGATATGCACTGATGACGAGTTCTGTACTAGGACGAAATGGTCGTCCAGTGCTTCCAGGTTTTCTATGGTGGTCTAGCTTTAATTAACTCATGAATTCAACTATTAAAAAAACAAAGTACTCATTCCATGACGTATTGTATGTATGAACTTATCAAATAGAATCAATGATAAATGTTTGTTATTTTACGACAATCAACATAAAAAGGGAGCAAATTTATATTTCTCAAATAGAAAACATTCCCTTCATTGAGTTGTTATTCATTATTTTAATGAGATATTACTCACAATTGATTAATAGGTAATATAAGTAGTATATATGATAGGGAAATTGAATTAAGTTCTTTGATAAGTGACTCACACTGCATAAAAGAAAAGATTACTAAGATATCAAAGAACACTGAATAGCTCTTTCATTTTGATGTGATACGACAAGTTAGATGCTAGATGAATATTTATTGATAAAACAGAATGTAGTTCAGTAAAGTAAGATATGTAACTGGCGGGAGTGCTTATATAATTTATATATATGTAGCTTTGGATCATCCATTTGCATCTTGAAGTGTGTTCTACAACCTGAACTATCATCTTGTTTGGTCTCTAAGTGTTTAGCCTACACCACATTTCATCCTACTTGGATTTAGTTAGATGGATGTTCCTGGATCTTTAGTGTTGAGTTTTACACTAAGACCTGAATTCAGTACATATCGCTGTAAACATTAGGGTGTTATGCACTAACCTGATTGCTCGAGTCACCATTTGACCGGTGTAACAGGGATTGATTAATATTCAGTCTTATGCATTAGTACTGGAAAACACACACTTCGTGAATAATAAATATCATATTCGTTAAATAACCCGTTGCTATCTGGACCTATACCCATCTTTCGTCAGCCATTAGTTTTCTTAAACAAAGATCTTAGTTTCAACGTATTGTGTTTGAAAGATAACTTACATTCTCCAACACCTAAGTAGTTGGTTAATTGTCCAATGCTATCTTTTCGTAACTGTCGATTTAAGATTGTCAAGTAGATCTGTTTGAGAAAATCATTATTGTAGTAATTTTATGAAATTGATTGCATCCTCTTAATGAATACACTTCAAATCAGCTTTAAAAATGTGTTTTGAGTTATAAAATATAAAGATTGATAAATATTTATATAAATCTGTAACAGAAGAATATACCTGAGCATCAACACAAGCACCATTGTTCAATAGAAGGCTGAGCAGTCCACCATCGCCATCTTCAGCTGCATAATGCAGTGGAGTATTTCCAAATGTATCACGCGCATCAATTTGTGCCCCAGCATTTAACTTAATTAATTGAAAATATGTATACATATATATCAAAATTATTGTCAACAAAATGTTAAAGTATGGCAATAATTAAGGTAAAATAGATTACAGTACAGTAATTTGTTTGTGCGAATTGTGTAATATGAAGTTAATTTCCATCACGTACTAACATTGATGGAGCTACTTCTGGAAACCAGAGAGCCTTAAATAGGTGTTTCGTCTCCATCTGTACTGCTCACCTAAAACCTTAATAGAGACTAAACTTAGAGTCTTAACGCATTATAGGCAGCCTGTTTCCTTAAGATTACATCCAAAGATCTACATTACAAACTTAATTTTGTGATATAGAATGATGATCATCGAATATCGTCGGTGATGACTGTTTTACTTGAAATAAGGTTGAGCTTCACTACTCAAAACTTTTCACTAGGATTTCGGAAATCCATTAACAAATCAGCATATATATATATATGGATGAAATGTTCCTAAGGTCATTAGCTGAAGGCACAGCGTCTAGATATATGTCTGATCTTCTGATTTGTACTTCACTTCATCTACTGTAACGATTTTAAAAATTCTAATTAGAATCATAATGAATTATGAGAGACCAATCATTTTATTTTCTAAAAGGTGAGAAACACTATCTATTGATATTTTAATGAGGGGTAAGGGATCATCAGGATGAAAGGTTTGTGGGGAAGAGATTGTATTTGATCGATCGCTTTCAACCGCCTAAAATCTCAACACGTAGCACATGATTTCTAGTAACTTAAAATAGTGGGTACATTAAAACTTGATAGCTTGAATTCGATTAAGAGTGATGAATAAATGTGATGTACTGTCATTATTCAGTGATATGTCAATGTATAAAATGTATCTAATGCACTTCACTTGGAACTAACGTCATTGGAATATATCCCATTCATACGGATGAATTGTTAGATTTATATCTAAATTTTAAGTAGAAAGTATGAACAAAATCTGAGTAAAAGAGTAGTTTGTGTTAACACATTGTCCGGACGTTCCATGTACCTATAAAAATTGTTGTTCAGGTTGCTAGAAGGAGCAGCGACCTTGTGACTTCCTAAGAAACTCGGTTTTTACCATGAAGCGTCATAGTTCTTCTAAATGAAGACGTTCTAATTCCTAGGGCAGAGTTTAAATTGTTTGAATTATTTTTTCTGGTTAGCGTTTTTTAGCGAGCTAGTTTTCTGCGGGATGGGGTCGCTAACCCTATGCCTAACCCTCCTCCTTTATCGGGCTTTGGACCGGCATTAACTCTAAAAAAGCTACAGGCTACAAGAACACATTACGTCGGGAAATAGAAGTGCATATGATAAGGATGAATAACAACTGGAACGAGCTGGAAAGGATTGCCCAGGACAGGGTTGGATGAAGAGTACTGGTGGGCAGCCTATGCTCCTCCACAAGGAGTAACAGGCGTAAGTAAGTAAATAAGTTGTGTTAATAGTTGTGGAAATTTAAAAGTATATTAGATGTATTATTAAATTTATTAAAATTAATTAACTTAAGTTTCCTTAAATCGACTCAACTGAACATGAAATCGTGGATAAAGAGTTTCAAACGAGGACAAAATATTTGTTTAATTCCCTTTTTTTTTAAAAAATTTAATAAACCATTTAGATAACAAGACAATGTATGAAATAGAACAATCACCTAGATCCAGAGTATTTATCTCTACAGTTAGCGTCAAATCATCTAATATCAGCATATAATTCAAACATTATCAATATAGACACACAACATGTAAAACATACCAACATTTGAAGACATGATACTTGTTGACGTAAAGCAGCATAATGAACTGGACGACGTTGTAATGTACAAGTAGGTTGATGTACATTAACACCATTTTGTATAAGATAATGTAACATAGCTAAATTTCCTTTATAGGCTACTAAATGTACTGGACATAGATCTGTATGATTTCTTTTACGAACCTTTCAATAAAATAATAAATAAAATAGTTTAATGAATATAGAATGATTCAATTTGTTTATTGATGATAAATTACTTTATCAATAACGGTGTTACGTTTTAAAGAAATGAAGGGTATTCAGATAAAATGGTCATTATTTATTGGATGAGTTATTTCACTGAAAACTTTCAAGAGGGGAAGTTAGGTTTTATTATTCACGTTTAATTCAATTGACCATGTAATTGAAATATTGTGTAACAGAATTTATAGCTTACCAATTGAGCCAAAAATAAATAAGGAGCATTATAAACAAAGATGGATAGCGGCTAGCAGTGGAATCCAGGACGCGCGTTTCGTCCTGTTTAGGACTCGTCAGCTGGATGTACCTGCATCCCAGAGTTGATGTTCTCTCTGGGACTCGAACTCAGTACCGTTCGCTACAAACGCCATCGCGCTATCCACTTAGCTACTGGACTTTGTTGAAATATATTCTATTTACTGGTGAAGATCTTTTACTCTTTTCGACATAGTGATTATCATTATTTCATAATATACATCATGGATTGATATACGTCCGACAACCATTGAAAACCAGGAAGAACTAGTTAACTGCTCTATCAGAGCATGAAACCCAGCAGAATTAAATCCAGGTGCTTTAGATCTCACAGCAGGTGCTTAACTTCCATTACATCAACTCAATATCTAATAGTTTATAGATCTAAGTTTAATTAATTTGCGATATTGTCCGTTCAGTGATTGAGAGACCTGTAGGTCCCAGATTAGATTGTTGGTGGGTTATTGGATGTTCAGTGCTGGGATCCTGACACAAGGATGAAATAGTTTTCTAGTGTCGTCTGGTCTGCAGCAATCGTTTAACTAAAATCAGTCCGTAATTTAAATGATAAAATCAACAATTTCCACAAAACCCCCTGTTATGTATTATGGCTGCAGACTAATATCGCGTGATAAAACCACCAATCAGAATCCCGACAGATATGGTCTAGCATCTCAGAGTTGACTAATTACACGTCCAACTAGCACTAGCAACCTTGAATCAACTGTTAAGTTTTTGTTGGTCCATGGTTCGCAAGTTCTCTTTCTTCCGTCCCTTCGAATTCATAAGTCCGTAACCAGCTTCCAGTATTCCATGTTATATTTCAAGCAAACGTAGTTTATATACAGGCACAGGCTACATCACATCATGAAATGAAAAATGACATATATACGTGATCGAAACAAAAAGCGGATGCGATTAGGGGAGACTAACTAACAAAATGGAAGCAGGTCAAGAATAGCAAATCGCACAACAGTAGTCAACGGGTCATTCGAAAACTTATATAATAAGAATACAGACAACCATAGTTCATAAATTAGTCCTGAAAACTACCATCCTTTTAGTCTCCGTTCTGACATAAGAATCCATAAAATAGATTTGTTGCTGTCATTATTTAAAGATAGAAATTAGAAATTCTTAAAATAAGACTAGAGGTTATCATATCTGGAAATCCCAACTGTTTAGTAAGAGAGATTTGTGGAGGTTATAATATTTTGCACAATTGAAATAACGAGTCTATCTAAGATAGTTCACCATTGAAAACTTCAAAACACTGGACGGTCGATTCGTCCTTGTATGAGACTCCTCAGCTGTGCACATGCACGATCCCTCACGCGGTACTCGAACACAGGACCTATGGTCTTGGGCTCTTCGTAGTCAAGAGGTTAAGCATCCATATGCAAAACTAAAGGTTCTGGGTTCAAGTATAGCCTGCAAGACCGTGGATGTGCAACACTGAGGAGATTCATACTAGAACAAAATGGCCATCCATTACTTCCAAGTTTTTAATGGTAATCTATCTTAGATCGACTCATGATTTAAATGATGTAAATTTCTAATACTCTAATAACTAACATTATTAACAAATCCATATTTTTCTGATTGATTATCAAGTTCTTTTAGTATGAACTGTCCTTGATGGGTACTACTTCTTGTGAATGATAGTCGCATATGTATATATGTACTAAAGTGCATGATATGCATAATAAGATCACACTTCATTATCATCGTCATCATCATCAAGATCACCATCATCATCTTTTCTATCCATTTTTTTTCAGTTATGGGGAAGAAATCAACTAAAAAAATATTCTTTGTTACATTGATTTACATTTGTTTTTGGCGCGCATATACGTGCGTACGTGCCTCATTCACATCTAAGGACAAATTATTATTATATAAACTTCCTTATTTCATTGAAACACTAAAGTAAAAGAAAATAAAATCGATCTACCTGTTTTATGCATAAGTGTGTCTATCAACTATCTACTAAATGGATAAACCGGAATGTGTAAATAGGTGGACAGTAACAACAAAAAAAAGAAAACTAAACTAGTAACCAAAATGACCTCAATGATACAGGAGAAATTATTTAGTAAACAAGAAAAGTAAAGAAAAGAAAAGCATAAAAGAAGTTTATACCTTGTGATAAAGTTCAGTCATGATATTTATGTTATACACCATATAATTTCATATAAATCTATCATACATTTGATAGTGTTTGGTTGTATCTTCCTATCGTAGTTTATGACTACAATTGATCAATCTCTTGTTAGTATATGTGCATCCAGTGTGGATTGCCTCGATATGACCCTAAGTCACGAGAAAAAATGGATAGTGGCTAGTCGTGGAATCCAGGACACGTGTTTCGTCCTATTTAGGACGCGTCAGCTGGATGTATCCGAATTTCAGAGTTGATATTTCATATTATGAAATAGATAATCTAGGAAAATAGTTTGGCATGAAAAGGTCATACCGCTTAATCTCAATCGTTGATTGATTAATGTTAGGCAATTGAAGTCAATCGCTAGAATGTTCTACACTTGTACATTTTGTGTTAGTTCTACAAGAAAACTATCAATCTTTTCCAATTTTTTAGTTTCCTGGAAATGAATTGCTCGCCAAATGTCTTATTATATTTTGTGAAGTAAGTCACTGATAATAAGTTATTAAAGCCCAGTGTTGTGTTAGACAGAAATAGGTTACTGATTAGGTAGAGTTACAGAATTTGTTAACCAATGTTTCATAATAGATTTGTTGCTGAGAATTGCCTTGATTCACTTACACTACATATCAAGGTTTAAGTAGTCCCTATGGTTATTCAGTCTTCATCAACAGATTTTATCTGTCACGGAAACCTACAAAATGAACTGATATGTTAGCGAGGAATATTAATCTAAATCCATCCATGAATATATCCTCCTGGAAAAATCTATGTGAACCTATAGATACATCGAAAAAGTACGTATTACAAACGAGTGCATGTATCATTTAATGATTTCAAGAAAAGAAACTAAAATAAATTGGTTGAGACTATAATTTATGGACGACCTTTGAGCGACTCCAGACTGACCTTGAGAGTACCCACCTAATAACCAGGACGAAATGAGGGTTATAAACCAATATGAGGAATTAGAATTATGATTTACAATTGATGATTAAGGTTAGGAATTAGATTTAGGGTTCTCATCACGAACAGAAATCAACTAAAATGCCAACACCCTATTTATTCAAATGGATATTCGACCTGAGAGTTGTTAATTAAGTAACATGTATTATATTAGATAGTTCGTATTATGGTTTTATTATATTTTCTAAGTTAAATATGTTTATGTGAGTTTGTTTGATTGTCAAATGATGATGCTATGACAACAACCATAGATTGAACAACGTAATTTTGCCAAGTTTCATTTACAATGAAATATTTATCATGTAGCAAGATAATGTCTAATGTAATAACAGCAGAAACTTTAAAGCACTTAGTTCCTTTTATAAATTTTGACAGAAAAATGAGAAGACAAATTTGATTCAGAAAATATGTGATATATTTGCGCTATACATTTCGAACAATCTGGTCACACATATAATTGCCAAGGTATTTTATGTGAAAATTAATAAAGGTCAATGAAACCACGGGCTCAAGTAAATAAAGTGATAATTGAGACCATGAAACAAATGATGTTAGAGCACCATTGAAAAACTGGAATCAATAGATGATCGTTTCATCCTAGTATGAAACTCATCAGCAGTGCACATCCCTATACTGATAATTATCATGTGCCCACTAGTGACTAGCCTCAAAATGGATTTCTCGCAGTTTAGTCTGAAGATTTGACCAGTGAAGTTCAACAGCATCTGTTTTTGGGGCAGTTACTGGGTGAAGACAGTGGAGGACGGTCGCGCAATATCGTGCATTAGTTGAAATTAAACATTAACACCGTTGGATGCCAGCTCAGTGGTCTAGCGGTTAAGCGTTCGTGTGCAAGACCGAGGGTCCTGTTTTCGACTTCTGCGTGCGGGATCGTGGATGCGCACTATTGCGGAGTCCCATACGAGAATGAAACGACCGTCCAGTGCTTCCAGGTTTTCAATTAGGGTTGGTTTGAATTTACGAATAGCCAAAAAGGGCATCCTCCTTTCGACTCAAAAGTATGTCTATAAAGAGCAATTAGTTATTACTTTCTTCCTCATAAGTCATAACGATATAATTCTATACGTTACTGAGTTTATCTAATAACTGAGTAGCATAACAATCTTTATTTCATATGACTGATATGTCATCCACGTATCTTCCATATATTTACGTTGATGATGAGCTCACTCATCATATTTTCAAAATATGGCATCAGTTAAAAGAGATCTCATAGGGATAACCAGAGCAATACCATCAACTTATCGAAAATGTCCACCTTTAAACATGAATTGAACTTTTTCAGTACACAATAAAAGTAGTTCTTTTAATAGTGTTGAAACAAATGGGAAAAACGTGGAAAATACTAGATATATGGTCACAAAGAAAATCAACACTTTTGATTAAGGGTACACTAGTAAAAAGAGAGTTTACAACAATAGAATGCATAGTCTTTTATTTAACACTAATGTGATGAAGATCAATTAGTTCAAATGTGTCTTATAAGGAAAACTTGCACATTTTACTACGGATTGAGTTTGTCAGTTTAGTTAACTAT